ATTCAAATAGGGATGATGATGGGTATTATATTATGGGTATGGGGATGTAGATATATATGATTTTAAATTTTTATTAGATGTGGGGATGAGGACAATAATACAGTACGTGCTCTATATTCGTACCCTATATATATATTTATATATATTTAGTAAATATATTTTTATTAAATAATATAAATTATTATTTTAGATTAATAATAATTAATATATTTTTATTGAAAAAAATATATATTAGTATATATTTATAAAAAATTACTTAAATATACAAAATAAAAACTAAAAAAAGTTTTAAAAAATAAATTTTAGTTTTATTTTTTTTCAAAAGCTACGAGTATGAGGATTATTTATACTTAGAATAAATTTAAAATATCCGTTGAATATGAATATGTATACAAAAACAGATATAATATAAAAATCTAAAAATAAGGATGAATAATGCTTTTCTCTACCTATATTTTATCTATTGACATCCTTAAATCAACTATTATAAATAACTTCTAAAAAAATGAAATAGCTTCATTTGCAATCTGCTAACCATGTTGTCTTTAGCAACATTCATTCATTTGATTGAATTTCCTCTTTATGTAGTCATGTACTCATAGTACATATATATGTATATATATGAACAGTTCATTTTAGTGAATTCTCTTTTTATTACCGTACTATACCATAGTCAATATGAAAGACACATCACTGCTTTAAAAGCAATGATTAAAAAATTTAATTCAATTAGTTAACATAATCATTTTTAATAAAAGATTATCAACTATTTTAGAATTTAAGTTTTAATATTTATAAATATTTTTTTATATCAAATTATAATTTTTACGAAAAAAAAGTAACAAATAAGCTAACATGTTTGTATAATTAATTCATTATTCAATTTCTTCCCATATTTGTTCTCAAAGTAACCAAATACACTTTCAGTCCACACCAAAACGAGAAAAAAAAAACAGGAGAAGAACCAATTACATCACGATTTCCTTGCTGCAATTGAACTTGCCGGTGAGATCTTAACTTAAGTAATATAATTATTAATTCTAGACTAATAGGGCGATTCCAAAGCCTTTGTCATGGCAAGGAAATTAAATTAAATGGGTTCCACAATGATTTTTTCTCTTTCTAGTAAAGACAAAACAGATATTAAAAGGATGACGCTATATATCACGCGATCAAAAGTAACCCATGTTTAATCACTTGATTTGTCCCATGATGTGTGCCGATGGGACCAGAAAAAACTTGCGTGGTACGATGTAAAAACACTCCCAATCCCAAGCATCAGCAATTTGTGCATACGATAATATTACCCACGATTGCTCCAATTAATTGATCCGATGATGTGCTTTTGATAAGATGGCATTGATTAAAACTGCATTTGGAATGTATCATGCCGTGGTGGGGGTGCAATTTGCAACGTAGAATCGTGTTAATTATATCGTAGACAGCCAAATAAATTATCAGTTTGATATAATTTTCGTCTGTTACTCGTTAGAGTAATTTGGTTCAGTTTTATTTGTTTTGTTTATTTATTTTATCTTCAAGTTAAATTGCAAAGATAAAAATATTCTTATAATTTAATTTTTTATTTAAAAATTATGAAATAATAAATAATTTTTATTAATAATATATTAATAAATTTTATTATAAATTAAATTAATAAATTTTAATTAATTATTATTTTTATAAATATTAAATAATTTAAAACTTTTATTAAATATAAATTTTAATTTAATATCTTTAATAATTATTTTTAATTTTTACTATAATTTATCTAATTATTATTACTATTTTTATATCTAAATACTTATCACATAATTAATTTTAATTTTACTATTATAATTATTAATCTTACTTCCACCATTATTTTTATTATCGTCAAAACTAATATCATTGTCCAACCCAATTTGGTTTTGTGCTCTGATAAGTTATTGCCTGTGCACGCATAGTCTTCTACTTGTCTGATTTTCAATATTTTACCTCGACAATAAAGTGTTGTGGCATGTGATCACCAAGACGATTAGTGCTATGTTAGGTACGTAAGGGCATTTTTTTCGATGCAATTGACCATTAGATGAAATCCTTAATAACAATCCACCAAAATGAGTTAAAACTTCTCAAATTGTTTTCTAGTTGATGTATCTTGATTTGAACTTTAAATTTTGATGAAAGAATTCAACATTTTTATAAATAGATTTCTTATCTCATAATAGTCCAAATGCATTTAAAAAGGATTGATCTGCAATTCAACCCATATTATTATACGTTTTCAAAGCTGAGATTGTTAGGTCACCAAGCACCTAATAAAGCTCCCTGCATATGTTATTATTTCCATATTATTGTCTTAATTCAATCTTGATTGTTAGAAATTCAAGCATACTCTTAGACATTTAACATCATCATCCTATTAACTTTTACTTAATAATTGAGAATCAATCCATGCTTTCAATCTGATCATTATTTTTACAATAGAAAAAAAACGTCAAGCTTCCTGCAAAGCCTTCATTAAAAGTATAAAAAAAGGAGAAATATACCTAGTTAACTTGTCAACGGAGTTGAACTTGTGTCATTTGAGCAAGTTTTATGGGATATTGTCTCCTTTAACGGCATGATAAAGTGGAAACCCAACTCTTAAGGCGATGGCAGTGAAGCTGGAACTTGTCACTTCGCGTCTTTGCCCAAGTTTTGGAAACAAAGTTCAGCTTGCAGTTTGGGTTTGCCCCCAAGGTTTCAAATAAGTAATATTTGGTAATAAATGCTGTCATTTTAGTGACTTTTGCCACCGTTGGCCCTATCATATGACGAGGATGAAAGAGGGGGGAAGACAAAAAAAGGCTGCATAATTAATAGTAACATCAAATGTCATTGTTGCGGTTGTTGTTATGTCGAAAATTTGAAGAAACTTATGTATACTGTTACGGCTGCAATGCTGTCATATATGTGAGACACAAAGTTTCAGACTTTGCAAATAACTCTTTTGTCCCTTTTCTTGGGTGAGTGACCTGATCAAGTAACCTTCGATCTTCACTTTTCAACTTCTTCTTTCTCTGAAATATATCTGAAAACTCCAAAGGAAAAGCCCCTTTGTTGACCAGATAACACAAATATTAGGAAAGGATAACCAGAAGAAGCAAAAATTCAGTTTGCTGCATCAAATTTATCTTATTATTACTTAAGTACCTTGGGATGGCAAGATCAAAGGTTAAGGATGACCTTAGAATTGGATAATGTCAATCAGAAGAGCCAAAAGATGCGACCAAAGAGACACGTGATATAAGCAAATCACACTCTTTTCAATAATAAAACCATATTTTCTTACATGTCATTAATGCTAATGTTGACAGTTTTGAGCAGACTGAAAACACAATTGATCATAACTTACTCCTCTGGATTACGACTATTTTTTTCTCCTGATCGGGTGCGCCTTAATTTGGATTGTTTCTTTTGATTAAGTTACTGTGGTAAAAAAATGGATCTAATGTAATTAACAACCAATTCACCATCATTAAAAGTTATACAACTGATAATAGAAACAATATATATGATAGACGCTTCACTGCTCACTGGTAATCATGAATAGCTTTACATCGTGTCTGCATTAATTCCATAAATTGCAACCCCGACAATATCTATCCAGGTGGTAGCATCTCTAAGTACTTGAAGCTCAGCTTTAAACCTTTCTCAGGCAGCAGCACCAACTCCATTTGCACAACGCATCCGTGTCCTCCTTTCCTGCCATCTTTGCGGCTATCTCAATTCTTCTTCAATGCTTGTTTCATTATATGCTTCTTGTTTCTACTTTCTACACCATCCAATTGCACGATTAGAGTCAAATATCACGACTAAACAAATGCTACTTGGTTTATCTTTCCTTGAAAACCAACAAAAGAAAGACATTTGGCCTTTGATCTCATCGGCCAAATAGCACATTTCTAGCCACTTAATTACTCAGCAATCGTTATGCATATCACAGGAAAATTTAACTTTTGCAATCATTAAGTTGACCAAGTAACTCTTGCAATAGCCCTATGTGGAGCCAAATCCTTCTTTAACTTAAACAGCAATGGGAAACTATTGACCTGCAAATCTAAATACCGGTGATCTGAAAAGACATATTTGCAACACATTGCTCGAGGAGGCTAAAACTGATTACTTTTCCACATAATAATTGAAGTTGAGTGCATTTGTTTGACCAAAATACAATGCTACCTAACCTTATAGCAAAGTGAAAATTCACATCATAGAAAGAAGAAAGCTACAACACGGACAAGTTCCACAATCCATACGTTATAGAGTTCCTTCTCTCACGGAAATAAGACAGGGACTATGATTTTCTCGACAATGACAGAGATTCTTCATGATATCATCATTAAAAAGAAAACTTTAAAAGTAATGCCAATGTTTCTAATCATATGAAGGTAACATAAACACCCATCGGAATTTACAGCTGTTTTCTCTTTTCTTTCATAGGATAAATGCATCCAACTGTGCAAATGTAAGAAAATTAAGACTATGGTATGAAACCAAATACATTTGCCATCTTTAAATATTTATATTGGATCTTACAAAATTGGGATTCCTGTATAACTTCATCCACTTTTTAACAGATGGATTCATGGAACATATGAGGACTGCATTTGATGCTTGTCTGATGTATCTATTCTGTGTTAATGTTGGTTAGTTTTTAAATGCCTTAAACTTTTAAATTTTAATTTCTTTTGGTTATACAAAGTGAGATAACTCTTTTTTTATCTGATAAATGATGAAAAAAATCCTAAATAATAATATGGCATCAATGGGTTTCAGATTGGATTAACAAATATTTCAATTCAATGATAAACCAAGTTTTTGTGATTAAGTTGAATTGAAATTTTTATCAATTTCATGTAAGAAAAGATTATATTTTGGGCCGGAAAAAGGTGATTTTGGGTTGGATCAGGCAACAATTCAATCTTTTCGTCTTTCGTTTTTCTAAAGCCCAAAACCTAACCCCTAAATGGAAGAAAATCACTTGCCGCTCGTGCTAAAAGCCCTAGAGACACTAGGAAATCAATCCCAAAGCGGCGCAGAAGCAAGTAGTAACCTCGCCTTGTCATTAGTCTCGATTCCCGAAAACCATGGCTACTCAGATTAGCAAGAAGCGGAAGGTTTGTTCCCCCTTTTCTTTCTATCTTTCATTTTTTTCGTTTCATTTAGCAGAATTTTGAAACTTGGAACCCTAGTTTCGTTGCTAAGTAGGGAAAGTAACAAATTTGACTCTTTTTTCCTTAATATACTGTAAATTATTTAGAATTGCTTAAATAATTCTCACTATTTTTCTCACTTTGATTTGGAAGATATTGGATATGATGTTTATATATATAAACTGAAATGACTTAAAAATGATTTTGTTTACTTTAGTTGGGCGGAATGGCTATCATGTGATGGTTCAAGTTTTGATTTATGATTTCATTGTACGGACAGTTTGTTGCGGATGGAGTGTTTTACGCAGAGCTGAATGAGGTTTTGACAAGGGAGCTTGCTGAGGATGGATACTCTGGAGTTGAAGTTAGGGTTACTCCTATGCGTACTGAGATCATCATCCGAGCCACTCGTACTCAAAATGTTCTTGGTAATTCTCCCAATTTTTCGAGGTGTTTTTAATTTCCCCTTCTCTGTTGTGCCTTGTAATTTAAAATTCAATTATGATTCTCACTTGAGTTTTAATGATCTGATGTTAGGTGAAAAGGGTAGAAGGATCAGAGAGCTGACTTCTGTTGTTCAGAAACGGTTCAAATTTCCAGAGAACAGTGTAGAACTGTATGCTGAGAAAGTTAACAACAGGGGTCTCTGCGCCATTGCTCAGGCTGAGTCTCTGCGCTACAAACTCCTTGGAGGCCTTGCTGTTCGGAGGTAAATGAATTAAATGTTATGCCACGTCATAATTTTACATATTTGACTCTAATATCTTATATAAACATATATGCATTTACTATTGGCGAGTTTTATAAAATTTGGGTTTTGGGTGTCAAAATATCTTCTTTTCAAGTTTTGAGTACCCTGGCAAGCCGTCTTTGTTACTCTGGTGCGCATTTTTAGTGGTCTAAGTCATCTTTACAGCGAGTTGGTCACCAAAAGTAGTACCTCTCGTGTCTGAGGATGACTATATTTGTTAATTCCGTCCAAGTCTCTTAGGTCAAGGAAACATACTTATATATGTTCCTTGCAACACCAATCTGGATGGTAGATTTCAACGAATATATTGCGTTCTGTTTTTAATTTACAGTGAGTCTTTTTATGGAAGAAAGATTATTTGGAAGCATAGATGATATACTTTTTCACTATAAGGTAGGAGTCTGTAAAATTTGTTTAAACATCATTTACTTAGCGTGCAATATGTGCTTGCCTGCTGAATCATAGTTTAAAAACAACAAGTTTGTTCTCTATTTTATCTATTTTTGTAAGTCTTAGGGTGTATGTTGAGATAAAGGTTATGGGGACTATGGCTGGCTTCTTAATATCCTTTAAGAGGTTGGATCTTGTAGTGTAGAGCATCTTCACACATCCCTCCTGTTTTCCACATTTGTGGATGCAATGATGGTTTATTTTAATATTTTCCACAAAATGTGTGAATTGTCTAGCAACCATCTTTCTGTCCAGTCATTGATGTATTGTTTAGCCCCCTTTTGTTGCATGATAGCCTTGGGGTGTAATCAGTGCCCGAATAAAAGATTTCTTGGAGCTTGTCAGGCTTCTTGTGCTCAATTTAAGGTGCTTGGAGATTGGAATATCCTCCTGCATGCTGCACATTTCCATTAGGTTGATTGTGTGCTAATTTTAGAACATTGATGTATTCCTAGCAAATATTCTTTCTTTTATTTCCCTCATCTAGATCTAGAACAAGTTAATTGTAGAATTTTTATTGACCAAACTCTTAAGAATGTTACTTATCATACATGTGGACATTTGAAGCTTTTGTATTCTCAATTGTATGTTAGCATTCAATCTACCCCTTAAAAAAAAAAAGGGAAAATGATGCTCCTTTGTTCTTTCTGGATTGTGGCTGTTAAACATCCTACTTTGTCATGTTTATAGGGCTTGCTATGGTGTACTCAGATTTATCATGGAGAGTGGGGCCAAGGGATGTGAGGTAAATCCGATAGCTTTTTTTGTCCTTATTTCTGAGTGTTTGCACCCAAGCATTTTCACGCTATAGTTGTATTTTGTGAATATGGATTCAGGTAATTGTAAGTGGAAAGCTCCGTGCTCAGCGTGCTAAGTCTATGAAGTTCAAGGATGGCTACATGATATCCTCCGGTCATCCTGTCAATGAATATATTGATTCTGCTGTTAGACATGTCCTTCTTAGGCAGGTCAGTTAAAGTGTCTTTCTAGTCGCGTTTTGCTGCTATTGTTATCCAGCTACGAGGTTTGGTGTTAAGGCTTGTAACTTAAGAGTACTCAATTTTTGGTTTGTGTATTTTTGTAATATTTTTCTACTTGTTTCACTCTGCCTTACGATATTTTGGATCTGAGGGACTTGTTCTGTTTGAAATGCATTCAGGGTGTGCTGGGTATCAAAGTTAAAATCATGCTTGATTGGGATCCCAAGGGCAAGCAGGGCCCTATGACGCCATTGCCTGATCTTGTCACGATCCACCCTCCCAAGGATGAGGTAGAGCATAAAGAGTATGAAGCACCTCTTCCCCCGACCAATATTGAGGTTCCTGTGGTTTAGAGCCGCCCATATCGGGTTGCTCTAGACCTAGTCTAATGCGTCATTTCGCTTTAGTTTATAACTCTTTAGATGAGGACAATTACGAGATACATGTATGAATTAATGTTTTCTCGGAGTTGGCCTTTGTTCAGGTGAATTTTGGGTGCGTTTTCTTAGTATATTTCAATGGATTAATGAATTTTTTTACATCTGTATGGATTAAGAATGAGCTCATGCTTAAATGTATTGGATATCTTGTTTTCACAAGGCTTACCCTTTTTAACCTTAAAAAACATAATCTTAAGTTTTGGGTTTTAATCTGGATAGTCAAAAAATTAAAGGAAAAGCAGGTAGCTATGATTTAGTACCATTAATTAGGTTTATTGTCAATTCAATGAATATATGTGCCTAAATTCCTACAAAATTAATCTAATGGAATGAATAAAGAATATTATCCGTAAATGGTTGATTGGGTATTATTCCAGTTTGATCACTCTTTACCCATTTAGTGCTTGTGAGAGATGATAAAAGCACATGCAACATAAGACATTGAGCCACTTGGTTGTCTTAAGAAAACTAAAGCTTCAAAAAACAAAAATGATCTTACTAGCATATTATTCACGTTGGACATCATTTTTGGGGTCACATTCGATTCAACTCAAGATCTCTTCACTTTTTAGGACAACAATCAATGCAGACAAAACACAAGGGGGCGGCTTTGCACTTAAAAAGGTTTAAAAAGTTGACATGATTTGGTCCCCTCTTCCTTTCCTTTCCATTGTTTCTCTCAATTAGGAATTTTTGCATATGAATGAAGAAATGATAGCGGGCAGCAGCAGCACCAAGCACGCCCGCCTGCCTTCATGCGTAATCCCCATTCTCCATTACCTCCATATATTCCCCTTCCCCACCCCCCCCCCCCCCCCCAAAAAAAAAAAAACCCAAAAGAGGTATTTCAAGAAAAGAAAATTAAAAAAATCAACTATATATAAAAGGGAAAGATAAAAGCACTAATGGGTTAAAAAACAAAACACAAATTCATCTACTTGCCTTAAAATAATGAATAAAATTATTAAGAGTATTTTTAAGTTCAAAAGACATATTGGTTATCTCTTCAATTAGATATTGTCAGCAGACAATTAGGATTGTTTTTTATTTTTGGGCCAACTTGACGTTTGCAATGTCACATTAGTTTGGTTACGTCATTATTTTGCTTCACAGAGCTATCACTTTTCACCTATAAATAGAGCTCACTAGTTACTATCTTTCCAATCCCATTCTTCTTCACATCCTTATTTTTTTTCTCCTTCCAACCTCCTTAATCTTAACCTTTGACTTAACGCTATGTTTCAATAGATATTAATAAAGAAAAAAAAAATTTTAAAAGAAAGAAAAGGATACATGTATCATTTTTTTGGATAGTTAAAATTAATAAAAGAAAGAAATTTTAACAACTATTATTTAGATAAATAGTGAAAACGAAAAGAATAATTCATTATAATATTTTTTTTCAATTATAACATTATTTTATAAAATAACAAATAATATACAAATATATCTTTACACTGTCTAACTTGTATAAATAAATCTTTTGAATAAAATTGAGTATGTTTAATACGGTAAGATGTATTAATTAGTTATTGATTTATTCTTAATTTTATATTTAATTTAACCTTTTAATTTATTTTGACAATAATTTGACTTATTTTATTGTTAAGACTTGAAAAATCATAAAATATTTATAAACTGTAATGTTATATAAAATACTCATAAAAAAAATTATCTTTGTAGAAGGTGTCAGTCACATTATCAAATCTAATATCATAATAAAAATATGGATATAATAGTCTTTTCATAAAAATAAAATTTTTTCAACTTTTCTTTTCTTATCTTTTCCCCCAAATTGAAGTATTAAAAAAGTGAGGATTACAAGAGAAATCAAAGATTATTAGATTTCCACTAATTTCATTTCTTTAAATTAAAAGTTTATCCAAACAAAAAAAAATTTTTTTTTGTTTCCATTACTTTCTTTTATTTTCTTTTATTTTTTTTCTTCCTCTCAATTCAAAAATAGTGTAAGTATCAAAGTGTAAATGCAATGAACATTTCTATCTTTGCCTTAACTGTTCTTTTTTTTCATGATTTTAAAGTTTTGACCCTTAGTTCGTGCTCAACACCAACAAAATCGACATAAAATCATCATTTATTTGAACTTTAAAATGAAATATAGGCTTTTATATCATCAATCAACTAATGTACAATAGTTTGACTCTTCTCTCTAAACAAAACGATTGTAGGAAAAGATATATATATATATATATATATATATTTCAAATTAACGTTTTGACTGAGTGAGAGGTGATCCTCTTGGATTAGTAAGCCATTGACTTATAGACAAAGGTAGGTTTAACCTTTTCAAATAGTAGCAAAACGATTGTGACTTGTGAGCCGCCCTTGCAATGAACAATGAATCCAAAACTGCCCATATTCATATAAATAAAATAGTTTCTTTGCGCCCTTGTCCGGTTTCCCGATTACAAGAAAAGGTTCCTTCTTCCAAAGTTCCCAACCCAAGTGTAGCACTTAGGCATTTCCTTTTGTATTTCTTTAGGATATGTTCATCATGAGTATACGCCACTTTTAGGGTTTCAAATGTCTATGGGAACAAGTCTAGTGCCCTCTAGAAATTGTTGTAGGTCCTATTAATAATGTTAATTAGCTATGAATTACGATGTAAACTTAGCATTACCAAAGATAAAAAGAGATAATTAGTTGTGACAAATTCATGAAATTTGTATACTTGTCAGTTGCCTCATATGCCCTGCATTTGAAAAGAACATCTCTATGAGCATATCCTATATATCAAAAGAAAAATAAAAAGAATTAGGTGTATATAGAAGAAAGCAATAGTGTTTTTGGTAGTAATAATGGTTAATGAAAAGCCAGCCACCAAATTAAAAAAAAAAAAAAAAAAACTAAAAGCATTGAATGAAGCTTCTCTTTTGGTATTTTGGCATGGAAGATAGACAAATGGATCATATTGAAATCTAACAAAGAGCAACAATATCTCCTCAAAGGCATTGGGGGTGGGGATATAATGGGGAGAGGACATAACATAGGAGTGGGATTTCCACAAATTTTCTTTTTTTTTTTTCCATTACAAAGTGGTGTAACCCCACGCTCAACGAGGCACTCATCTCCCACAACACAAGCACACTTTCATTGGGTTTGGGGACCCACAAATCCCCTTCAATTGCATGGGTCCCAGCTGCCCCTCATTCTACTTCTTTGGTAGGCTTGTCAGTTGGATGGATGTAGTAATACCCACTTAGCCACAAGGCCACTACAGTCCTTTTTATGGGCATTAAATTAAATGAGATAAAAAAAAAAGGTCGCCTAAAAAAGTGTAAAGTTTAATCCATAAATATCTCACTTTAACCCTCCTTATGGACCCATCACTTACCCCCTCCAAACCCAAACCCTCCAATAATACACTGCCACATATACTTTCTTCCACGTGTCATCTTTCCACATGTACAATATGAGCCCCACCATTATCCCACGCGGACACATACCCCTGTTTTTCCTCCTTTCCTTTGTTTGTCCCTCTTATCCACCAACATTGTGATATCATGCGCATGCTTCTTTCAAAATTCTAGAATGACAGTCAATCTCTTGGAAATTTCATCCAATCTAACTTCAGATGTCAACACATGGACTTGGAGAAACCAAACAACTCATTACTGCCAGCTTAGAACATCACTAAGAAACAACCATGGTGGGTTGTCACCATTGATGAGGTTACTGTTTTCATGAACCATGTACCATGATAATTGGCGTGAGTGAGGCACTAATGTAACAGAAATCCATGGGATTGTCTGTGACAGAATCATTGCCCGTGTTAGGGAAAAACAATAATGATCCTATAAAAGATTAAAGCTTTTTTCACTCGTTTTGGTGTTTATTTCTCTTTACTAAGTGCTATAAAAGCACATATCCATGGCGTTACAATCCTCAAACTATACCACCTTTTGCTCTTCTTTTGTTCTTTGCTTCCTTTGTCTTTCTTTTCTTTGGCCTTTTTTGGGGGGTTTGAGTTGCTTTACTGATTTCCACTTAACTTTTTTGATCATGGGTGAGGCTGTGGAGATCTGCTATCCAAATGGTTTCTCAAAAATTTGCAATGGAACAGCTAACCAAAATCTTGATGAAGAGAGTCACCATTTTGATTCTTGGTACGAAGAAACCATTGATGAAGATCTCAAATGGTCCTTTGCTTTGAAAAGGTTTGAGCCAAATTTTTGTACATTTACCTAATTCATCATCTCAAATAAAGAAAGATAAAAAAAAAAAAAAATGGAACATAGTTTCCATAATTTGATGCTTGAGGTCATGCAATCAGATTACTTAACCATTGATATTTATGTACATTACCCAAACCATAACAAAAGCAAACAACTTTGGGTTTCTTTTGCTTGATAGTTCAATCTAAACTCAAGTCTCATCTCTTGATCTCTCTCAACAGTGTGCTGTATAAAGGCGCAAGCGAATACCAGGATATAGCTCTTTTGGACACTAAACGTTTCGGAAAGGTACGTATACCCATGGTTCTGTTTCATTTCTTTTTATCCTGCAAACTCATTCAACCAATACATTTAACTTTATCTTCAATTGTTTGAATTGCTTCTTGGATTTTGGAACCATGGCCTAATGTTGTTCTATGGTGGGTTGATTTGGAGTCAAGGTGTTGGTGATTGATGGAAAGATGCAAAGTGCCGAAGTTGACGAGTTTATCTATCACGAGTGCTTAATTCACCCGGCTCTTTTATTTCACTCGAAGTAAGTTTTTTTTGGTTACCTGGGGCCCATGACTCCATTGCCATTACCTGTGTTTTTCAAGCATTTTCTTTTGTTTGTTTACTTGTTATGTTTACTGTTACGAGTCATCAACTTGACTAGAAAATGGGCCACATTATCTGTTAAATACTGCATAATTTAAAGCTGAAAGGGAAAGGCTAGGCTTTAATAAAAACAGGCAATGAAATAAACTATTCTATCTTATAGGTGTTTACTGAAAGAAATTAATGAGAAGTTGTCAATGATGGTATTGGTAATCAAATCCAGCATTTGATCTGCTGGATTTATGGGTTTACGGTTTGTTCTGCTGTTTGACACAAAAGAAAATAGAGGCTCAAATTCTTTTAATAATTGCTTGGCAAAGGAAAATGACATAACAAAAAAGAGTTGATGACATATTTTCTTACCAATTCTGCAGCCCTAAAACTGTGTTTATAATGGGAGGAGGGGAAGGGTCTGCTGCAAGGGAAGCACTCAGGCATAAATCAATTGAAGAAGTTGTCATGTGTGATATTGACCAGGTAATTAACTTGCTTGATTTCATTTTCTGCATATTGCCACTGAATTTGGATGGCACCTTCTGACAATTCTATGCTACTAATTTGCAGGAAGTGGTCAATTTCTGCCGTAGATTCCTGACTGTGAACCGAGATGCATTTTGCAACAAAAAGCTTAATCTTGTTATTAATGATGCTAAGTAAGTATTGAGCTATTTGATGGCGATTTGCTTCAAAGGAATTTGCCAAATATTACACTGTTTTTTCATTGGAATCTAAGTGAGTGTATATCATTAAGGGCTGAACTGGAGGGAAGGAATGAGAAATATGATATCATAGTTGGAGACTTGGCAGATCCTGTTGAGGGCGGTCCTTGCTATCAACTTTACACAAAATCATTCTATGAGAAAATTCTTAAGCCTAAGCTCAATGAAAATGGCATTTTTGTTACTCAGGTTGGCTTTCTCTCAAGCCATAGCCATCCTTTTTTTTTTTTTTTAACATCAGAATAAAAAAAATATAATGAAATCTAAGACAATTCCTGCCCTATAGGCTGGCCCAGCTGGCATTTTCACTCACAAGGAGGTCTTCTCTTCCATATACAACACAATCAGACAGGTTTTCAAGTGTAAGTTTATCAATCAACTCAAAGTTTCTATACAACAGATTGAATAATAAAACCAAATCATGGTTTTCTTCTGTCTGTGTGTTTATGCAGATGTGCTGGCATACACAGCCCATGTGCCATCTTTTGCGGATACCTGGGGATGGGTTATGGTATGGAAATCAATGTCCGAATTCATTAAGTTAAATGGACCAATGTCTAGTGTCTTTAGCTTTATTTAACTTTATTTGCTTTAATATAGGCCTCGGATCAACCATTCTCCATTGGTGCTGAGGAAATTGACAGGAGGATAGCAGAAAGAGTCGATGGTGAATTACTCTACTTGAATGGCGCTTCATTCCTTTCCTCTGCTACCATGAATAAGACTGTCTATTTGTCGTAAGTTCACTGTTCTAAGATAAATTAAAGGATTGTATTGCTTTAATTTGTTGCTTAAAAACTTTTAGCAAATGGAGATGGTTAAATTACTTGTGTCAGGCTGTTGAATGAAACTCATGTTTACACTGAGGAAGATGCAAGATTTATACCTGGACATGGGTTGGCTCATCGTCTTTGAGGTTTCAGGCCTTGGTCTGGGTGAAGAAGTTGTAAATAAAAAAAAGGGAAGGGTTGCAATTAAAAGATAGCAGCAAAACTTTGCTCGAAAGAAATTAGTCATCAATCTTTGAAAGAACTTGGTTTTGATGAAGACATTTATGTGTTGGCTTTGGGTTGTTTACAGTTTTCATTTGAATGAAGTGATGCATGAAAGCTTTATCTATAAATCTAATCAATTCCTCCGTTCATATATCTATTATTGAGTACTTGATCTTGGCTTGTTATGCATGATCACCTCCCCCATCCTCTATACGCACTTCTTCAGTGTAGCATGCGGGGGAGAGCCCATTGGTCTTGTGAAGACAGTAGTTTGAATGGTCCCCATTTCTTTCTGTTTCTGGACTTCCTTTTCAAGGTCTGTCACCTTCATCAAAGCCCAAAAGACATAATTTTTCAATATATCAGAAACATCTAACCCAAGTTCAAAGACCCATTTTCCTTGTTTTTCTGGGGCCGACTTGCTATTTGTATACCATGGGGTGGTCGGGCATCCATGGAATTAACACGAAAAAGGAAATAAAACAGATAAATGGAATCATTAAAACAATCTACGTCAACCATTTATTTTATCTGTTTATAGTTTTAATGTTGAGTTAAACCAAGAGATGAAACAGTGCTTGCCAGTTGCCAGACCGGAGAAAAGTAAAGAATTTACCCCTCAAAGGGTCAATGGACCACATATTCAGATTCGACCTTGTATAGTGTAGTATATGCTAAACAAGCTCAGTCTACCTTTTTTTTTTTTTTTCAAAGAGTAACGTCCTATTACATAGAAGAGGGAGGGGTGACTTGGTTCCAACCCAAGCTCTAATGTCTTTCTTAAAGCTTTTGCCAAGAAGCAGAAGACAAGCTCAGTCCACTTTGATGATAGCGACAAGTTACATGAAAAACTTTGGGCTTCTCTGCAAAATTAACATGTAGCCTCTGCCTCCAAAAATGTAGTATGAGAATTAAAATTGCTGTAGCTTTCCTTTTTGGAGAAACTGCTGTGGGTTTGTAGAGACAACCGACCCCATACCCAAACAATCATTAAATCCGCAGCAAAATTGCCTAGCCTTTTCTATTTTTACCAGGGAACTCGTTACCAGTGCTTGTTGATAATGCGATAAGCTAGCCTTCTTATGCTCTGGGGTGCCTGCAGCCCTGTTCATTCTATGTTTTTATTGTTGGTTTTTTGCCTTGCTGTTTATGGTGTAATAACTCATTACTAATTGCAAGCAGAGGGAGGGAAACAATGAGAATTTATTGTTTTATTGCAGAATGGTTTTATTTTCCAATGGCAGCATTTTCTCTCTTCATTTGAAGATAAAACAATAAGGATTTCTCGTTTTCTTCATAGTGAAGATGCATAGAATACATCAATATCATGAAACTGACTGCCAAAATAAAAGGTTTAACTACAGAAATCTCAAGTAATTCTCTCGTATTCCTAAGTGCTTTACCAGATGGAATATACCCTGGAAGGAAACCCAACCCCTACTGTCTATGAACTCGTTCGTTGTTCTTCTTTTCCTGCCTTACACAACATAAGAAACTTGAAACTTGAAGCTTGAAGCTAATGCTCCAAATTCCATAACTCGAGTGCATCAATTACAATTTATTACCACACCTTGGGCCCAAAACCCTCTCTGCAGTTCTCTCCGCCCACATCTGAAAGAGAATTAAGTGACATAAACTATTCTTTCAAGAAGAATAATTTTTTTTAACACCAAAATAGATGAATGCATGGCCAACAATTGCATTGTTTGGTGGTACAGTGTTGAACTATTAATTTCAATAGTCAAGATTTAAATCTTGATAATATCCGAGATCAAACAAATTAAAACTTCCCAAAGCCTGAGACAATTCTGGATTTATCCCCCGTGGTGCTAAACAAATCAAGATAGCTGTAAGGGGAAGAACATGATGATTATGACCTAATGAGTCCTTATAAAAACTGGGACACACCCGTGAAGGGAATTAAGAAGCTGAAAAGAACCAAAATTTGGTTTAGGGTATGTACCAAAAAAAGACCTAAGCTAGCTAGCTAGCTAGGTTTAGCATATAATCTTTTAACTCTTTCTTTATCCTCTCCACAAAACCATTATTCCTCTCATCATTGCCGCCAACCTCTTCCCCACTTGCACTTCACCTACTGTACGGAATCTCTAACAAATGAAGCTGAAAGAGAGAGATTATCCCAAAGTTCACAGCTGATGGATTGTATATTAATAACTTGATTCTAATCTTATTATATAAATTAATTAACTACTTTCAACACTTTCAGACAATAAAGTGCTGCATGAAAAAAACAATTCTTGAATAAGTTACAAATCCACTGCCGCATTAAACAAATGTAGTTTAAGCTTGTTTAGTAGTTTATAATCCTCTGATTCATGTTCGATTTTGACTAAGAGAGCAGCTGAGTGGGAGAGTGACGCCCATGTTTTTAATATTATAAACTCTTTGCATGCTTGTTACGTAGTACTAATGGTGTTTTTTTATAGGCAATTATTAGGTCTACTAATTAAAATTAGTAAGCATAATTGACAGTTGAAACCCTCTATATATGTATTTTATGATTTTATGCTCGAGAGAGCATTGTTTGTTCAACATGAAACTTGGTAGGGCATCTATTAAAAAAAAAATTGTCTTTCCATTTTTGCTTTTCGAATTTATGTTATAAGAATTGAACGTGCATCACCATTGTCAATCATGGTTGCCAATGTAGAGTATATACTTTTGTTTTCATGAATAAACTAAACGTTGATTTGATATATTTCTTGTATATATTTTGTTTACGTCTTTCCTTGTGTTCATAGTGTTATTTATCTCTGGTATAACAATTAAAAGCAATAACAAGGTATTATCACAATAATGTGTAGGTTAGAAATGTTTTTTTTTTTTCACATTTATCACAATTTCTGCAACTAGATATGGGTCATCACTCCATTGTGATTAGTAAGCAACCAGTCTACAATGATATTTGGCAATCTTTTGGACAAGACCCTACTCGTAGAAAGTCTAGTAAAAATTCATGAGCTGACTTACAGTGTTAGGGTAGAAGGAATCCTATAGAGTAAATTAATAGTAATGGAGAAAGCGTATAACTCTGTTTCTTGTTGAAATAGTTCTATTCCATTGAATTAAGTGGACCACCTTTGGCTAGGAGAAAAAGAAAAAAAAGAACAGATAATGCTTGTTTCTGATCCTGACATATTTTACATTTTACTTTTGTTTCAAAAAAGAAATAAATGTTGAAAACTTCAGTGGATATGTACTCCTTTCATGTTGTTAGAAATTATTGTAGTTTTAGTTGGTTAGAATATAAAGTCTGAATGAATGGTAACAGCAGTGTTTTTTGTCAGAACAGAGGTTATCAATTGAATAATGTAAAAGGGTTTATTCAAGAAATCATTCCAAGGTAAGGTTATTAAATATTTCCGTTGATCCAAAAATAAGAGTAGTCTTGAATGGGAAATATAGGTAAGCCAAAAGAATGCTCTTTTGTCCTGGTAGTAGGGAAGGGAGGGTTGGGGGGAATGGTGATATGCTAACGCAATGTTCAAGTAAGAGGGTCCAATCCAAATTACAAATCCAATTCCAGAGAAAGAAAAGAAAGCAAAAGCTCCTCTCAACTTTCTCTATTCCCATGGGGCGAAGATCTGCCTTTGCCTTTACCATCAGACTCAACCTGTCATTTTGCTTGTGATTACTATCTCCAATCTTTTATTTTCCCTTCTTTCTTTCTTTCTTTTTCCTTGTTCAATTAAATGGCACCGTCAGTATCTCTTCAGTTCAGATCATGATCAAAAGACCTAATGCATCCCCATTTCTTACTTTTCATAAAACCAAAATTCCATGCTTTCCTTTTTTAATACTTTATTCATTTTACATACTGGCTAGCTTTAGCATCTCATTTCACATAAACACAAAATAATAGTAAGACAAAAATGAAAGCGAAATCTTATTGGTTCTCACCTTGTGAAAACTGGAATTAAAAAGGGAAAAAAAAGAAAGGTAAAGCTGAAAATTTTGGTTCTGTATATCTTGTGAAAATTAGCTACACTATCAAACCATTAGCAATGGCTCGATTTGTTTCAACATGAGTAGTTTCATACACTGGAAGCTCTTCTCGATACCTATCATTACCGATAAGAACAAGGTGATCCAACTCGAACAAATCCGAACTTGAATAGCTAGCTGCATCGTCTTCATCTTCATCCATCTCTTCCACTATATAATTACTGCGAGTTTCCCTAGAAATAAAATCCTTCTGATTTAAATGGTATTCTTTCAAAAACTCTCTAGCCATTTCTTCCACTCGTCTTGTCTTCTCCATTTTTTGAAACTTTAGCTCTTCTTCGCACTTTCTTGATGGCGATTTCCCAATTTTCCATGCAGTTGGAACTGAAACCGACAGTAAACTCGAGTCTTCTTCTTCTTCATATAAGCATTTTTGCCCACATGGTCTACTGTCTTCATCAACAATTACGCTCACTGGGCAAAATCTGACTGTTCTTTTGACTCCATTACGCAACCTTTCTCGAGTAGAAGACGAGTTCTTGCTTAGACATGATCTCGAAAATGAGGAAGCTGAAGAACACGTAGAGACTTGCCCTGACTTCAATTTTCTTTCATCATCACCGCTTACAATTGAAGATGAACTCTTGGCTTTCTTTGTATTACCTGTTGTGAACAGAGAATTGATGAAACTCGCGAGTCGTCCACCAGGTGAAATGGGTTGTTTCACCTTCTTTAAATTGTCATAAATTTTCATGGTTCTTGATTTCGACTTCAAAAGACTTTCATCAAGCTTTGGTGAATGGTCAGAGGCAGAATTATAGTGATAATCATCAAACATATGCAACTCCCTCTGTTCATGAAACAGAGTCTTATCTAATCTCCCTGTTTTCTCTGTTTTCTGTGGTTTCTCCGGTCGAGCCAACACGCTGGTCCTAACAGGTTTAGGCCTTGGTGGTACAAAACATGAAGCTTTTGTTTTTGTACCATACATAGATTCAGTATCAGATGATGACAAACCAACAGAACTGGAATCAGATGAGCTGCAAGTGGAGCTAAAGAAAAGAACATCATGATCATGATCATGTTCATGAGGTGATTTTATTTCAAACTCAGAGAAAACCTGTTTCTTTTCTCCATTTGCCTTTTCGCTACCCTTCTTTTCCATCCATATCTCGACCAAACAATCTCCTTGGAATCTCGACATCTCTTCTTCTTCTCCTCCTCGTCCTCCTCTACTTCTGTTGCTTTTCATGTTACCTTTGCTTTGTTTCTTTTCCATTGTTTCCCTGTAGAATTTCAAGTCTTCATGCTTCATGTCACCATCATCATCGATGGAACGGTAGATTTTGTCAAGTAGAGTAGAAGAAAAAGATGGGTTATCTCTCTCGTGCCTGTATCTTTCTTCTCTCATCAGTGTTTTCTCCAATCTATACATGGCTTCTCGTTTAGGAAAATGTGTGTGGCAAAAGATAAAATCGGCAAACAAAATGATAAGCAAAGGGACTATCAAGAACCGAACAGGCAGTTCTTTTTGTCAGTGAAGAAGGGTTCAAAAGCTGCAAAATAGAGAGACGAAACAGTAGGTTTTCCCAACAAGAAACAAGTCACTGTTTGAAACAAGCACTTTTTGTTGGAAATGAAAGAAAGGAAACATGAACAGAGTAAGTGATGCTTTGTTTCAAGAGATAGAGAGATACAGAGAAAGAAAGAAAGTTATGAAAGCAAATTTTGCACGCCTTGAAGATGAAGAGGAGGGGAACAGAAGCTTGGCACTATATAAAGGTATTCAAATCTTCCTACAATGGAACCAATGCCAGATTGTCAGGTCTACGTGTCGCTCTTCTGGGTCTTTTTCAATCCCCAGATTAGCCCTTCTTTTTCTCATGAATCAACCTTCCATTTCCATTCCAATCCTTTGAATTCTTCTGCTTTCAGAATTGAATTTATGGCCGTTAGTCAATGTAGGAAGAGAAGGGTTTGGCAGTCCTGATGGGTCCAGATGTTGGTTTTTCGGGGTATTTAAAGATGGTAATGGTGGTCTAGGATACATTAGATTGTTACTAAAAAAAAAAGAAAATAATTCATCATACATTCTTTGGAAAGAAAAGCAGGAGATTTGAAAGGCAGGAAAGAATTTATTCTAATTTATTCAAGTAAAGTTTGTGAAATTTTTTTATTAAAAATAATTTAAATAGATAAATTAACAAAATTTTATGAGAAAATTAATAATACGCTAAAAATATTTTATATTAACCTAGACACAAATCCGATGTAGACATGATCTAGTTGCTTCGATCCAAAACCTTGAGAAAACATTAATATAGAATTGCTGAGAAGGATCGCTTAAGGTTACCGGGTGATCGAACACGGGCGTCTGCCTGGGTAAATGCCATTTCAGGATCACATGTTTTCCTGTTTCTGGTTTGCTCATGGACATCCATTTCCAGGACATAAGCTATCATGGATGCAACATCCACAACCCTATCTGTGCCCTTTGGGGTAGAAAAAATGGGAGTGATGCAGAAAGGTCAGCGATCTGGTCTCTTCAATGGGTTTCAGCAGTGTTCTCTCGGTCACTTTGAATTAGAGTTAAATAATAAGGTACACGGCAAAGGTGGCTTCCACCAGCAAATAAACAATTCTCGTTGTGTACTTTCAACATCTGATGCTAATAGATCCGGTTGAAAGATTTAAACATTACCACTAAGGTAGGGCCTGGTAGCAACAAAGTTTTGAATTGCCCATTTTTGCATGATCATGCCCCGTACGTGCGGCATTGCACCAGCTGCTTACCAAGAAAAAGCTATCCCAGGCCAATTTCTTCACGAATGGCATCTTGGACAACCCCATCGTGAGGTTTAATTTCCTGGAGAGAGACTCAGGGCTTCAGAGCGTTTGTCCCATCCCACTATTAAACCAACCTCCCTGCTATCTTTGGCCAATGGCCATCATAATTGTAAATCCATTAAATCTCAACTTTTTAAAGTGACGTGTAAATGGTCTTTAAGCCATCTTAGTACTTTGGTATCTTTCCAAAATGAGATCGAATTTCACTCTTTTTTTATTTTTGGTGATTCAGATCGAATTTGGGGACCATTTCCAAGGCACATGAACTGTTTTCATTGTTTATCCAAAGACATCTGATCTGAGTGCCTCTAACTTGTGCGCTTTTGAGGATACTAAACTGGGCTTCCATTAAAGCTTAGTTTCCCCAAGTTGGTAGATGTTCCACCAATTGCACGGTGCCACGTGTAATATTCAATCTAAGCTCAGTTTTTGAACGAGCCTGTTGTTCCATCCCAATTCCCACGGGTGGGTTACTTAAACTGATCGTTTTATTAATTCCCTTTTCAGTTTAATTATTACACTTTGAGAAAAAAAAAGTTTATATATCATAAGTTTTATATACGGTGAGTGAATCAACTCATTAATAAATAAATATTAATTTTAAAAATAAATATATATAAATTAAAATAATTTATTTATTAATAAAATATTATCATTTAATTTATTTTATTAATAAATTATCATCATTTGATTTATTTATATTATATAAAATTTTACTAAATATAATATAAAAAATAAATAATATTTATAAGAAAAATATATACTTGATATTTTTTTAATTCTCGAAACTTGATTTCATCTTATGACTCATTCTTGACTCTACAGTCAGTATGGGCAATAATCTAATTGGGTAATGAACACAAATTGCTAGGGTAATGAAGAAAAAATGGAGTATGACCCAAGGCTTGAAGTGACCATGGTGTCAACTTTCCAATAACAAACTATTTTAAATGATTATTAACAAGGGAAATAAGAAAATATGGATTAGATTCCAAAATCAGTTATATGAAGCAAAATGGCTTCGCCTGACAGCCATAGCCAATATCTAAGCCTCTCCTGCTAATTGTGAAGTGTAGAATAAAAGCGCAGAAAATTTGAGATACAGTGGAACAATAAATTAAATAACTTACCTGAGCAGAAGATAGAAATTTGTGCATCCAAACGAGAAATGTAGCGTCTAATCACCAGGGGACAAGGAGTTTGTAGGACCGGAAGCTTGCCTCCTCAGCAGAGTACCGCGTGATCTGACATGCCACACCTGATTTTACCTCTTCACTTTGCAATCCTACAAACAACACTGTTCATGGTACACCCTGGCCAGGAAGATTTTTTCACGTGGACAAGATCTCGCAATCCCTTGCTGCATGTGGTCCAATATTGATCACCCATATGATGGTGAGAATCAAAGGAAAGATCGGACGGTGGAGATTGGATTATAAGGTACGATGTGAGAGAGATTTTTCTTTTTCTTTTTCCTGTTGGAGATGAAAAAGGAACAGTGCTATTTTTCCAACGAAGCAATCAACACCCAGAGGGCTCTATGCTTTGTTTGGGGTCTCGATCATCACATGCGCTTCATGCATGCCTCTGTCATTGCTTGCTATTTGTTCTCTTCAATTTCTTTGTTTGTGCTTTGGCCAAAAAAATTTGTTTGTATGTGTCCTTAGGAGAATGGACGATGGTCATCCAGATTCCAGAATGGGTGATAAATACACAGCTTAGGAGGACAAATTATGTAGATTCATTATTATGGAGTTCTGAATAAACATTAAGAACAAATTTCCATAATCACAGCTATATACTAGTAATAATTTTCTGGGAGGGTGAATTAACCCGATACATCATCTTCATGTCTCCGGGCCTATCATTAGTAGGTCTAGCTGTTAATACATTTTCTGGGTATCCATGATACTTGCTAGGTTAGACCCACTGTTTTTTAGTATCAATTCACAGGATTTGATTTGATCTGTCCATTCAACCATAAACGATAAAACAAAAAAAAAATGAAAATGATATCCAGGAAAAAGAAAGCTTCAGCAATCCTTGTCCAAGCTTATTGTCATCTCCTCTCAATCCCATCCATGTTAGAGAGAGTTGTCAAGGACCCCCGTCTGAACTAGCAATTATAAACATGACAACAGTAACACATCCCATTATTGTAAATATGAGTTTCCAGCAATCATCCCAATGATTAACATCAGGTTGTTAACTAGGACAGTCCCATGATTTTTAATAGAGTTCCACCTTTCTCAATTAAAATAAGCACCATGAATCACAGCTCTCTCACAAGGTTCTCTTCTGTAATCAATGAGAGTTGAGTCTCTGGATGTCTACCAACTGATAAAGATCGCCTCGGCGTTGCTTTGCGAAGGGGAGACTTGCCCTAAATTTCGTACAAGCACCCACTTAGAATGAATAGAAAGAATGATTGAACAAACAATTCCATAAGCATGCAAATTCCACAGAACAAATACGAGGTGGAAGCCATGTCACCTTCGTTGCTCAATTATTGAATAATCAATCTCCGCTATGATTATTTCCTCATCATGTTCAGTGGTAGCCAAAACTTCTCCAAACTGTCACGTGCAAAATTTATGTATAACTTGTCCGGTTAAAAGACTTAAAACCACAAAAGATTCAGAAAGGCTCACTTTCTACATGTATTACAGGAGCAAAGCCGTATTCTGTTAATCCACAACAAAGCCAAAAAAACAAGCATCTACTTACAGGTCCTACAAGGGTGGAGTGACCCCAAGCCACGTAACTGGCGGCAGCATCTCTAGCAGGTGAACAAGTTGCGACATACAACTGCCATTTAATATCTTGTTAGAAAAGAAACACAAAACAGAAACATTTTATGAGAAATCAGATATTCATGTGCTAGACAGCAAAGAGCACTTAATGATCTCAAGTCCACCATTCTGATGAATCCACTCCACTTTCACCATCCAGTATCTATGGCGACATCAGAGCATGATACCATAAACAAGTATTTTTCAAAGCTTAATAAAACAGAAGGAAATAAAGCACCCAATTTCTGCCACTCAATTAGAAGAGCATCAGACTGCAACATGCTAAACTAACCAAATACTGACTACATTCTAGTTTCAACCATACAATGACAGAATCTACATAATTTTCATCTGTTTCCATCTGTTTCAATGGTACTAGCACCATTTCTTATTAAACCAAACATTACAGTATGCTAATTATGAGACCTATGAAAGCCTTTACACTGGTCAATTAAAGAAAGTGAAAATTTTGCCAGTATACCTGACTATCCATAGCCCTGCATATGGAACAACAAGAAACACATTAGTAGATGAACAACTATCATATAGAGACACAAACAGCATAAATTACAGTCTTCTACATTGCAAAACAACATTTAGCTCACTAAATCATCCAATAAGGCAGTCCACTTCACGTTGAGGGATGGTTGGATGTTCAAGCAAAAAAGAGTAAAAACTGGAGGGCAAACCAGCATGACTTGATCTAAGTTTTAATTCATTGTTGTATATGTAAGATAATGTTCTTCCTTTAAATGAAATGATGGTTTTGGAAGATGATCAAACATGATAAAGTCAACTTCATCAAACAAATTTATTGGTGTCTTGGTAAAGCAAATTCAACTGGTAATGTAAGGCTCAATATCAAAAGAACTGATATGTACAGAGTTCTTTGCAAAATAACATGTGCTTAATATCAAACCTAACATCTCAACACCAGTAATTCGGCAGTCAGCTATAGCCAAACTGTCAAAGCAACAAAATTTCTGCATACTTTGATCATTTTAACAGCACTATAATGTCCAGCCAAAATCTAAAACAAGGAACCATCCCTGTAAGGATACGAGGCCAAAAGAACTGTAACACTGACTTTTATATAGCTCTCAGTAGTTACTGCATCCCCTACCCAACCTTATTTCTCTCAACCTTTCCAGTGAAATTTAAAGAATTAACAAGGAAAGCGAAAGCAGGGAAACAACTAGCACCTTGCTCTCTGCAGCAACTCCCAATGCAAAGGTCCAGTTGTCATGTTAAATGCTCCAGGATAGCATAGCAAGTGAGCACCTAATGTCAACAACACAACACATAGTTCAAAAAATTCTTAAATAAGATAGGCAATACAATAACTTCAAAAAAAGAAACGAAAAGATAAACAACATCAGCAGAAACTTGTAAATATCAATAAGGGAAAACAATAGAAAAGATCCAAACCACAATATAAAATATATAAATACTAGTCAATTATGGGAATAAAAGGAATCAGTACATGTAGGAAATGTGGCTTAAAGAATTCAGGAACAAAAACAATATCATATAATAATCTATAGCAAATATAAAAATAAGGATTTGGAGTAAAGAAAAGAACAGAAGTAGACCATGACAAAATTCTCCACAACTGCAAAATTACTTATCATTTAGGAAACAATAATTGCATTGATCAGCTAACAAAATCCAACATTAAAAGTATCATGGTTCAATGGAGAAGTAAACAAACCTCTCGCAGCATATATCATTGCCAATTCCTGAAAGCGAATGTCATAACAGATGCCTATACCAATACGCCCAACATCTGTGTGAACTATTGATGATTAGTTTCCCCAATTATAAAATTACTCAACCAGTGTACATAATTGCCAAAAGGAATGAGTTGTTAGAGAAATCTGACTGTAGAAAAATTACTCAGTCAGCATACATAATTGCTAAAAGGAATGAGTTGTTAGAGAAATCTGATCGTAGAAAATTTATGAAATAGCACTTTATTGCTATGGTGCAGATATAGGAAACATAGAATTGTCCCATGACAGAAGAAGAGATGATTTACAATTTATGGTCTAGAAAATGCTTCTAACAAAAATTTTGGACATGGTAACACGTTCATGTGTGCAAGTCTAAGGAAACATCAAACTGTGTCCACAATGGTAGGAGTCTCCCCAGCAGTAAGGGTCTTGGATTCCATAAAGGCAATCTTCCCAGGAATATCAATATCAAAAAGGTGAATCTGTAGTTCCACAGGAATTCATCAATATAATGCACACCAGATTCAAAGGGAGTCTTCAAAATGATATAAGTAAACCTATAGAATTGTCTAAAGGAAGCTGCCAACTTGGTATTTGAGATCAGGAATTTCAGTGTTCACATACTAAAAAGTTAGTGGCCAATGATGATAGACAAAACTTAATGTAAATTATCATTTTCTTCCAAAAGGAATCTAGATTTTGAGGGTACCAAACAAAAATTTGTCATCATAATAACAAGAACAGATATATTAGATGCCTCAGTCATATAGTAATATGTCTCTATGTATGAGCTCATATACAGGTGATGGCAGATATTGTCAATAGTCAAATCATTCTACCAAATGGACATCAAATAACAGGTGGCTCCAGAATGCGGTTCTTTGCCAAGTCCAGCAACACACAAATAATGTGCAAAATTGGCATTTTCTGTATACTACCATATGGGATAGGAAGTGCCTCTACCTTACGGTGCCTGGCTTTCAGCTTTCCATCAGTACCAAAGACACAACAAGTATTATACAACTTATCCCCACAGCGTTCAGGTATAGAGCCACCAACTATCGTGATCTTCAGGCGACTAGAAACTTCAGACAGCATAGCTGTTGAAGGAGACGCATCATGACCTGCATCAATATCTTCAGCATAAACTGGGAAGCTGTCATTCGAATATGGGCTGTTCCATATTTCCTGACACAAAATAACAGACAGGAAGGGTGAGCCTTAAGTTGATGCTATGATATCACATTTATGGTTAAAAAATTTTGCTTGCAAGATCTATTACATGTAATTTGTGAACACCAAAACCACCATTTCATGGAACACCAACGTGGTTTATATTCCACCATACATTTGGCTCGTCAAACTGAAAAGTGAAACTCCTCATCAAAAACAATGAAAAATTAGGCTTTGGGTAAAACTCGTGATCATCATTCATGGTTTGCTCTGTATGAGTAGCAACGTTGATGCATAAAGCATCCATGTCACTATGTACAAAAATTTAGAAGTCTAAGATTTTGACTTTTTTTGGTGTCCACGAATTTTTAAGACCACAAGCAACACAATTTCTCTTTTTCAATCCACCAATTCGATAAAACCAAGCTTAATTTCCCCTCATTTGAACAGGTGGAACCTTGAGGCACAGACAAGATAAAAACTCACAGGCAAGAGAACAAGCTGGGCACCCTTTTGAGCAGCCTCCTCAATGGCCTTCTGAGCATGCCCTATGTTCCTCTCTTTATCAGGTGTCACCGACAACTGGCAAAGCCCAATCTTGAACTATAACAACAACCCAAAACAGATCACTTTAATAAACACATAATTAAGACAACGGAAAAAGAGACAGTAAATAAAGAAAAAGAGATTGCCTTGGTGATAGGAGGGGTGGGAAGAGGGAAGGCGGTTGGTGCCCTCGCTTGTTCCGGCTTGAAAGATGATGCCATTATGGATGTTGAGTTGGGCCTGATTTGGAGCTTTTGATAACGTTGATTGTATAGATTTTGGGTGTTTCTGGGAATAGTTGGAATGAAGAAGGTTCTTTGAGAAATGGGTTTTGATGCGTGTTGCAGGAGAGACCGTGAGATTGCGGGATACTTGGAGCTAACCAGTGATGACACCGCTGACTTCATTTCATTTCACTTACTGTTTCTGGGACTCAATTTAGATTTTCGTCATGGAGTTTCTGCTCTTTTGTTCGTACAAGGAGTTTTTCGTCAATTTGTTCGCAAGCGATGTCATGTTATTGGTTAGTTATGATTGGTTCTTGATTGGTTGATTTTAGTGGTTTAGGCTCCTTATGGTAAGGATGAGATCACTTGCCCAAGGCTTGCTAACAACGTGTCAAGAAATTGCCTTGTGCCGACTACCAGCCTCTCTTCGCGTTGCCTCCAAACAAGTACAAGTCTCCTCCACTCACCACCCCCACCACAAGCACCTCCTCTTTATAAATATGTGTCACCGCCTCCGCCTAACACCTCATCCTGTGTATAAGTACAAATCTCCGCCGCCCGCACCACCATATAAGGAGAATTATGTATCTCCTCCCCCACAAAAACATCACCATGACCAACATCGCCGTCATTACCACAAGCATAAATGGAGTCCTGATCCCTACATAACGTATCAGTCACCTCCACCACCACCTCACCAGGGGTACCCTGTTTTTCACTACTACTCTCCACCACCTCTGGGGTTACATCGGTGATCGATGTTATCAGTTGTTGATAGTGTTGGTGTTTAAGTAAGGTTTCTTGTACTATGATGAATTTGTGTTCCTTTTTCCCGCTGTATCTGTCAACGGACGTTACCATGAAGGCAAGAATCGTTAGCCCGTGCCTATCTTATTAATGAAATCAACAATGATAATTCCACCAGACTAGACTCTTTCTGGCCCCAGCTGCTATGGTCAAGTTAATTTGAATGTTTATTGATCTCTGGTAATCATGTAAATTGTAACCTAAGTTGCAAAAAGTTTTCAATACCACAGCCTTCCTTGTTTCTTAAAACTTCTACCATCAGATTTTTTTTAATTAAAATCAAAGGAAATTCCTTTCCTTTCTGTTTCTGCTCGTAGTTGAGTCAAAATGAATAATTTTGAGGGCCCCCCACCAAAGGGCAAAGGCCGAAGGCCGAAGGCTCTATTTTTTTAGGATCTCCAAGGACTATAAATAGTATTAGTATACGCTATAATACTGATTCGAAGGAATTTACCGCAATTTCACTGGGCGGAAGATCAGTAAAACCGGTTAACAATTCATCACCAATGGCACTGCCGTCATCCAGAACCATTTCCATCTCCTCACAAGCCCTGGCCGACATCACCCCTCTTGTCAACTCCGTAACTTCCCTTCTCCAAACTCTAAACCCACAAACCCCCAACGCCAAAAACCTCAGTTCGGCACCTCTAAACCGCTTCTCACCTTTCCTAGACCCAAAATTCGTCACCCAAGTAATCAACAAACAAACTAACCCTTACCATGCTCTCTTCTTCTTCAACTGGGCATCAAAACCAAACCCAAATCCTAAAAACTATACCCACAATAACAAATGTTATGAAGCCATCACAAATCTCCTTCTCTACCATTCCCTATTCTCCCCTGCCATCCAACTCCTTAAAGAATCTCAAAAGCTCTCTGATTTCTTCATTGGCAAAATCATCAAGGCCTATGGGGAAAAAGGTAATATCAAAGCTGCTATCTTTTGGTTTAACCAGGCAAAAACCTTTGGGAAAAATAACTGCCTGTTTTCATTTAATGCAGTTCTGGGTGTTTTAGTTAAGGATAATAAGATAAATTTAGTTAAGACCTTGTTTGATAATGTTGTGAAGAAAGGTTTTGTTCAACCTGATGTGTCTTCCTATACTACATTGATTAGGGGTTTGTGTAAAGTGGGTATGGTTGAAAGTGCAAAAAAGGTGTTTGATGAAATGAGTTGCAAGCCAAATTTGCTTACTTTTAATACTATGATTAATGGGTTTTGTAAGAAGGGTGATCTGGAGAGTGCAACTTTGCTTTTCTATAAGATGATGGCTGAGATGGATTGCTTGCCAGATACAGTAACTTACACTACTTTGATTGATGGGTATTGCAAAAAAGGAAAATTTGAAGAGGCGATGAAGTATATGGACAAGATGGTGAAAGGGGGTTGCTTTCCCAGTGTGTTGACTTATAATGCTATTATATATTCTTTGTGTCTTAGAGGGGAAGTTGATGAGGCAAAGAAGATGATGTCCAAGATGAGATTGAATGGAGTGAAAGATAATACTGCAACTCATTTGAGTATACTGAAAGGGCTTTCTGTTGCGGGGAGGTCTAAAGAAGCCATTGAATATTTTAGATGGATGGTCAGTTGTATTATGGATTTGGATGTTAAAGCATATATAGTTGTTGTGAATGAATATTGCAAATTGAGGAAACTTGATGAAGCAATTTTGCTTCCGAAGGGAATGCGTGGAAGAGGCATTAATCCGAATGTTTCTAGTTTCAATTCAGTGTTTAGGGTTCTCGTGGAGTTAAGAGAGCTTGATAGAGCTGTTTTGCTTCTAAAACAGATGCCACAAATTGGTTCCTCACCAAATTTCTTGTCATATAGAACCGTGATATGCAGTCTTTGTAGGGCTGAAGGTCGGATGCGAGGGGTTGAATACCTTGTCAACAACATGCTTCGAAATGGTATTCTTATCGATGCCACTATGTACGGTTGCATACTTGAGGGATATAGTAGGGATGGAAATGAAGAAATGGCAGTACAAGTTTTTAATGAAATGATTGGCAACAGTTATGTCATCAGTTTGGAGAGCTTCTCAATTTTTGTCAAAATGTTGTGCGGAAGAGGGATGACTGTTAAGGCTGAAAAATTTTTTGAGGACATTTGTAGGACATGCCCTGTAGTTGAAAGGGGTAGTTATAGAAGAGTCTTAGATGAGCATCTGGAAATTACCCAAGGCTCAAGCAAGGAACATGGAGGAGGAGAGAGTTCTTGAGGGTGGAAAACACCAGCGGTTTGTTTTGTTCAGAATTGGAATGCAACTCTGGTTTCTGTTGGAACCCACTCAGCACCCTGTTAGCTGAATTTGAAGAGAGTTATTTTTACAATCGCTAAATTCTTGCAGCAATGAAAGAGATAGCTTAAGCAGCAGTTTTGCTTAATTTGCTTGTCCACCCTAGCCGAGATGGAGAACCGTCTCCAGCCCTTTAACTTGTATTTGCCATTCCAATTGGTGGTTTGGCGTTGTGTCGAATTCATCTAAAATTCATCCTTTTCTTGTTCCTTTCGGTTTCAAAAGTTTATGCGCAGTCCAAAAGCAACTTCAGCCCTTTTTATTTATCAGGCAGCTGAAGCTCCATTGGGCCATGCAGTCCACAACCAGTTACCAGACGAAAACACCATCTTATTGGCCCACCGAGACCATCAACCTGGTTTAAACTTGGGGCCATCTTTGATAACGTGTTAAAATCTAAATGGGTTAACAGGAACCGTCCCTTATTGTGGCATTGTGGGTTTGATTTCATTTTATTGAAAGGGGCTTTTCTATTCAGGGTTTTTGTTACTTTTTTTTCCTAATTTTCTTTTTCTACTTATGGGCCAAAATCCCGAGTCACGGACTCATCCATCTCTTATCAAATCCGCATTATTAAAAAAAAATTCAATCTCCCCATCTCCTTGTCTTTCCTTCTTTACGAAGTCTTCTTTCTTGTTTTTGCAAATCTGTCATTTCTCTCCTTTTCCTCTGTCTCTCACTCTCAAAACAAAAGAACTCTCTTTGAACGAGAAGGAGGAGAAAGGAAGAAAAGAATCAGTTTAGATGATGGATGGCGGAGCTCCGTACAACCCACGTACAGTCGAAGAAGTGTTTCGAGATTTCAAGGGTCGTCAAGCTGGCATGATTAAAGCCCTTACTACTGGTAAAAGTTTTCACATTTTTTGTTTTTAAATCACCACTCTTTTCTCTTATTTGGTTGTCATCTTCTTAACCACCTTTTTTCTTATCCTTTTGAAGTTATTTAAATTTAATTTAATTTAATTTTCTGGTGTGGTGGTGGTGGTTGCAGATGTGCAAGAGTTTTACCAGCAATGCGATCCAGGTACTGGGATTTTGTCTTTTTCTTTTTTATTTTTGAAGAATTAATTGTTGGATTTTTATACCCATCTTTGTTTCATAGGGGATATGGTTTAGCTGGAGAATTGAAGTTACAATTTATTTTTTTAATTTTCGAGGCCTTTTTTTTTTTGCTTAAAGTAACCAGGCTATTCAAACCCAGTAATTGAAGTAGTTTAAAGTTTAGTATAAATGAAGTGAATTTTAATGCATGCAATGGTATTTGTGGTTATAACTCTATTGTTGTTTAACTTTATGATGCCCTGAAGAAAAACTATTCAATTATTGGGCTGCCATTTTCTGCTTAAATGGAACTTTCCCTTTTAAAATAAAAATCAATGGTTTGAGCTGAGTAAGAGTTTTGTTTGTTCAGGTAAGGTAGATTTAATAATTTCAACATTATTGTTATTGTTACTTGGGTGTTCTATTTCAAATGTAGACTCTTTTTCTTTATTTAAGCAACTATGCATTTTAAAAGTTGGTGCAAAAAAACTCTTTCTTTATTTGGCAATTTTTTGATTGACCGGCAAGTTTAAGAGCGTGCTCATTATTTGATGCTTATTGGTTTGTTTGTTACATGGCTGCGATTTGGACAAAAAACATATTCATTTAACTTTGATGCAAATCCATGAATTGAAATGCAATAAACTCATTGCGGTTGCCTTGTCATGCTTTTACTCATTCTACCTTGTTAGGTTCTAGATGCATGAAAATTGAAATGGAATGAGTTAATTAAAATTCTAAAATTTTGATTGCAGAAAAGAAGAATCTTTGCCTTTATGGATTTCCCAGCGAACAATGGGAGCTGATTTTACCTGCTGGAGAGGTGCCTCCAGATCTTCCGGAGCCCACACTTGGTATTAACCTTGCCAGAGATGCGATGCACGAAATGGACTGGTTATCTTTGGTTGCTGTACACAGTGATGTGTGGTTACTTTCTGTGGCTTTCTATTTTGGTGCTAGGTTTGGATTTGATAAAGCTGATAGGTATTTTTCTCCTTGCCAAAGTTTCATCTCCTGATTTGGCTTTATATACATGTTCTAGGTGCAAATAAGCATCATTACTAGGTAGCCATGTGCACCAACCCAGCCTCAGTTCATCCAAATAATTGATTTGTGTCTCTTTCCGTTTTAATGTTTTATTATTATTATTATTATTATTATTATTTCATACTACTCACTATGTGACTATCATAAAAATTTTTACGGTATCTTTTTGACTCAGTTGACAAACGTTTTTTGTAAATGGATCCTCTTTTTTATGGTAAAATTTAGTACATTATCATAACTTGTTTAATTTGGCTGGAATTTGCTACTTGGTTTGGGAAGTCCCATTGAATAATTTGATTTAAATACCTATTTGTAAGGTTTGCGTTGAAAATTTATTCATTGACTAGTTTAATTTTTCCAAAAAAAAAAAATGCTAAAGCCACGTGTTAAAGTAGTTCTTAAGACCTTCTAGTTGTCATCCAAAGTATGATTGGTCTGCTCCATAAATTTAGGCTTCAGCATGATGGGCCTACAGCGAATGGCTAAACAGTAATACTAGGCATAGCATATGTGTGCTTGCTTAAATTGGGATGCTGTGTGCTGGATTTACATGTGGCTGTAACAGCTGCTATAATTTGAGAGACATATTTTCCTCAATAGTACCATGCTGGTCAATGTGATGCAGGAAACATCTTTTCAATATGACAAATGATCTTCCAACAATATTTGAAGTTGTGACAGGAGCAGCTAAGAAACAAACAAAGGAGAAATCATCAGTTTCAAATCATAGCAACAACAAATCTAAATCAAACTCTAAGGTAGGAAATTTTTTCTTGCACAGCTATTTCATTAAATGTTAATCTGTGTGAATTTTTTAGGGTTAAGGTGGGTTGAGGTTGGAGCTAAAACGTAATATTGCATTATTCTCACAATTTGACAAGGCTTTATGACATAGTAAAAACTCCCATAGTGGAACTTGTGGAAGTATAATTCACTTAGACATAAAGCTGCCCGCATTAAGGCCTCATTTGGTTTTAACTGAACCTCCAGTGTGTTGCGTTTTCTTCACTTTTCCCCTCCAATCTCACCATGATTCATATTTGGATAACATCAGTGATGGTGAGTTTGCCCGCTTGAATCGCACTGATACACTAGTTGAAGACTGGACCTTTTGGGGTTCAGTGGATAACTGGTATCCCAACAAGTTTTTTTTATCCACATTGTTTTTTTTTTTTTTTTTGCATTCCTATAATGCCCTTAAATGAGCTTTTGTTTACAAAAAAACTTAAAATCTGATTTTTTTTTTCACTTATTTTTCTCTCTTCCTGTTTTCTATCACCATCCCAAATTCCTAGCCCTAAATTGCCTCCTCCTCCATGTTGCCACCCCTTCCTCTTGTCACCTGTTCCATTTCCTTGCCTCTTTCAACTTCCATCGAAGCTGTCACTGGTTTGAAGCTGTTTGATGAATGGGGTTGTAAGCATTGAAAGGTATTATTCTTTTATTTTTTTACCCAAAATCAAGATTGCTTTGGATTTTTCTGTTTTATTCTTATTTGATTTGTTCAAAAGTTAAATTTTAAATGCAAAATACTAGCAGCAACTTGATACCTCTTCAATCTTTTAGCCAACAAATTGTCTTAAGCGAGCAAGAGAGAACTATGACTCAACCCGAAACTTTGTTTCAATTTTTTCCATTTGGGTGTTTAACCTTAAGTGTGATGAAGTGTCTGAGTGATCATTGCCCCTGCTGTCATCATCCTCATCCTCTGAATCACAGCTATAATCAGTCTTTGAATTATTGGGGGAAAATCTTATTTGCAGTGGGTTGAATTCAAGCAAATTTGAGCTTGTTTTTTTGTCACAGTTCCTCAACCTTAGAGGAGCAAATAAAAAATTAGGGAAAATATAATATTACATATTTGAAATCCTTAATACAAAATTGCCTTTTTACTATTGTTGATTCTAATGCCTACCTGTTTATTTGGTCTTAAAAAGGGTGATAGTAGAATAATATGCTCTGTATGGCAGCTTAGTTTGTTGTTGTTTGTTAGTGCAAAAGAGTTTTATACTCTTTAAGAAATAGGAATATTTAGTCTAATGAGGCTTTAGTTCATTGATCCCTAGCTAGAGATTCCTGTCTCATGTATTTGTTCTATAGTTTTGATGCAATAAATTTGGTTGTATATGATTGGATCCCTTTAGAAGTATTTACTTCTTCATACAAGAAAAAGATAGAGAAGAAAAGAAAAGGAAATGGGAAAAGCCTACCATCTTAGACCTAATGAGTTCTCTGCCTCTGAATATCTGAAATGGTCTCTTGAATCTTAGTTGCGGTTTCAAAATAAATTGAACACATTGAGAATATACATCTACCTTATTGATAATCAGAAAATTGAACATTTGCTATGCTAATTTTGTGTTGTTAATTATTCTCATTACAATAATGTATTCTTTCGATTTTGGAATTGTTTTATTGATTGGATAAGGTGAACCTACTTGCCTCTGATTTATTGAGCTGCTCAGAAGAATAATACTTAATTATTAAAAAAAAAAAAAAATCTATAGAGAAAGAACCATTAGATATCAAATAGAGCAAAAGCTACAGTTATGATGTTCTTTTCTATTCTATTTCAATTTCCAATAACTTTCTTCTTTATGCTGATGGTTAAACCTAGATTAGTATCACTAGAGTGGTAGAGTCTCATTCTTTAGAATAGCCTCCTGCTCTTGAAAATAAAATATTAAACCAGAGAAGATAGTGTTAGTTACAATTATTTAATTGCCAAAAATATGACCCTTATATAAGAGCAAGCTTTTAAAGTTTTAATTGCTTTTTTTGTAGTCATTAGCCTTTATGTCAAAAGTCCCAAACTGCTAAAAGAAATTACAACTTACCTGTAGTCTGGATGTTTTAAGCTGTTCTAGTAGAATTTGCTCCTGCAAGAGTTAAACGTTAGTTTAAGGGCTCTGAGCACAGCTTTTGAAATTACAACTTTGGGTAGTTTATGATAAAGCAATATCCCACATCCGGATACTGTTTCTCCTTGTCATTTTAGGATACTGTTTCTCTAGTGCTTATAGGGAGACTAGAAATTTGGAAACACTAACCATGTTCCATCATTGAAGCAAATCTAACATAAAGATAGGCCACCTTATTTTCTCTATCATGTTTCACAGTTCAAGGTTCTCCTTGTGTTGCCTTTGTTTCTATGAATGCATTAAAAAGAGTGTTCTCTTTACTTGATGAATATAAACTACTTTCCCTATATGTTGGTTCTGTCTTTCTTTGTTGAACTTGATATTAGTTTATTTCCTACTAATATGTTATGTTTGAACTAATTTGATGAATAATTTATTAAATTTGAAATAA